CACAAAGCATGCACTTCATGGCATTCAGGGCTAATGGTGCATTCTAGAACAACTAGGAATTTCAGGCCTGCAGCTAGGAAAACTGCGGTGGAACATCACTCGAGGTTGAAGGTCAAATCACTGGGGCGTTGACATGTGACAACTGATGAGGAATGAGAGATTCTTCTCCAAAAAAATAAAAAATTTAAATAGGTGTGACTAACTCACTTGTGCAGTTACATTTGCTTAAGAAAAAAAAAAAAACACAAAGTGAGATCGTACATTAATAATACCAATGTTTCGTGTTCCTCCTAAATGTTGCCCATGTTGCATTTCTTTTACATAATCGCCCTGTACAGCAGATGGCGCCCAAGGCTTCCGTTTGTGGGTTCCAGGAAAAGTTCAGCCAAAAAAAAAAAAGTCAAAAGGTTCTCAGACAAGTGTTCCCATTTCTTTTTAAAAACGTGTTCTGACAGGTCTCTTCAGCAGCTGTGACATCTTTACGTCTTTGTCGAACGTGAATCTGTTTTTGTTTTTTTAAATCAGGTTTTTCAACATGATCCGACTTTTCACGCACAGACAGAAAAGACCGGAGTGGAGTTTTCTCAGCCACACCCTCTTCACAGCCCTGATGAAGACTGGAGTTTTTGGGGGTTTCTTTTGAACTGGATCTCAGACCAGACATTGAAGCGGGCTGTGACATGAGGTCAAAGGCCATCCAAGAAATTCTCTGATGGAATCACCAGTGAAGAAGAGTTTAGGTTTAGATCTGTATTTATATAAAAAGTTTATTAGAGCGCTAACGACGGATGCTATCAAGATATTACCTCACAACTTAAATATATTCTACATATTTACGAAAAAAAAAAAAAATTTAATTATAGCATAAAAAATATTTTTACATCATTCCTCAGAAAGATATTTCTGTCCTGTTTACACACACTGCCCCACCACAGACTTGCAAAAAGTTTTGCATTTGTCGTCATTACTGCCACCTACTGGTTCCATCTTTTACTTAACTGTTTGGAACCAAATTTGTTATTAAAAAAACAACAGTATTTTTGGAAATTAGCAAAACAAACTAAACTTTGCAGAAGCCATTTATGTTCCTTCAGAAAATGTATAAGATATTTTTTAATTGTGTCATTTAAACACACTGCTGGGAGAATGTTTCATTTTTTCCTTCAGCCCGTCCTGTCTGATTAGACAAGATTAATCACAATTTGGATTAATCAGATGAAACGTTTTAGCCCCAGTTTTCCCTCTTACTACGACTAGTACCACACAGTCTCGTCTGTTTCACCCCTCACACTTGCATAAGCAAAGTTATGCTGCCAAAAAAACCAAAAAAAAAAAAAAACCAAAATATTGTAATCAGTTGCTGACCTTTTGACCTGGAGCTTCCCCTTGTTGCGGTTGAAGTGGATGCTATAGACTCTCTGCATGGCGGCCGGCAGGGACGACAGGACATCCGAGTTGGTGGGCAGTCTGGGCAGTCCGAGGGCGGGCAGCTGCGTCAGGCTGCGGCACAGAGGACAGTTGATGGCGCCAGGCTCGGTCGACTTGACGTTGATACGTGCCAGACATTCCAGGCAGAACGTGTGCCTGCAGTGAAGCATCTTGGGACAGCGGAAGACGTTGTTGAATTCGCTGAAGCAGATGGAGCACTCCATGTCGGGGTAGGTCTCCACGGAACACCGAGGGCGGGCCGGCGACGGAGACTGGATGATGAAGACGTGGCAGGAGGCGGGATGGGCGATTGGGTCCGTGTCAGGGCAAAGTGTGGGGGCAGAGCGGTCGTGGTCTGGAGACTGGACTTGGATTTGATTGACATGTTGTTCTGAGGAGGCCTCACTGAGCGAAGACGAGTCGCTTGAAACAGTCGGATCGCCACATACTGTTAGCGTGACCGGACAACAGGGGGCGCTGGGGACTAGGAGATCGTTATCGGTGAAGGAATCTGAGCATGCCGCTGCGTCTTCAGAGGGATGGGAGTCCAGGTCTATTTGACTGAATGGATTCATGGCTGCTTCGGCGGACGGAGAAATGACCGCGGCAGCGTGAGTATCGAGTGAAGAAGCTGCGGACGCCATCATTTAAACCAACTGTAGAAGAAGACAAAAAAATAAAGAATGAAATCAAATCTGGCTCAGGCGTGGACGACTTCAACCAACTGTAACTATGTTCTTGCTGGCATCCAAGTCCGAAAAGAACCAAAGGGGGTGGAGGGGGTCAGAGAAGTTTATTCACAGCTGTTGGGTTCAGTTGCGATGTTTGTTACTATGATAAGAAATAACTCTGGTTTTTAAATTAAATTTTTTTTTTTTTTTTTTTTTTTTAAAAGGCCGCCTTTTTCAAGAATTCTCTTTACCAGACTGAAAAAAAAAAATCAAACATGAAACGAAGATTTCTCACCGGATTGGAGCGGCTAGTTTACCTGCCCACACAGGGGGATAAAGACTTTATCCCCGATATTTTGTAAGAACTCCACGCCCCCACCCTTCCAAAACTACAGCTAACATTTAAAAATGTCTTGTTTTCTAGACTATAATTATTTCAACTTGTTACAATCGACCACAAAGTCGGTGTGAAAAAAATCCATGCGTTCTTAACACCGCTGCGTTCACTATGCTAAGTCAATGTTAGCGCATTAGCCTCATCGATTTAACCGTAACTTTATAGCAATTACCGCTCGGAAACAAACAGAATGTTCTGGAACTGACTTTGTCGCGCGAGTCGAATCAGTAACGCTTGCAGCCACGTTCGACTTCTTACCATTAAAATCGATCCGATGCTTCACTCGTTAACACGGACGGAACCGAACTGACGTGAACTCGGCCGCAGCCACGTGTGTTTTTAAGGGCCGCGTCAACGAACGGTTCAGTGACTGACGTCATTGGTGGAGAACACACCTGAACGCAGTGACGATAATGACCTGAGATAACGACACCAGATTACGACAGATTACCGCCCTCCTCTTCCCCCTCCTGCTCCCCCTCTTCCTCCTCCTCCTCTTTAAAATGAGTTTTTTGTAACATGAACTTATTTGTATTTGACACAATTAATCGCATCATTTTAAGAGAAGAATCGTCACAAGAATCACATTTACGTCAAAAAACAGATCACGATGTTTTGTTCTCTTATTTTTTTTATATATATAATAACTGTCATATGAACAAAAGTGAGATTATTATTTGGTTTGCCAAAATCAGAGGTTTCTAAGGCTAATCTGCTGACGACAGACCACACAGGAAGAAACTGCTGCGTCGAAGAGGTCGTCGATTTTAGAGTGGTTAAAAAAAAAAGTTTGGTTTCACTGACGCGGAGATTGTACTCACAGGAGTTTAATGATAAAATAAAAACATCCCATACAAACATATATACACATATATGTGTATACATTTACTCATTTACCTTTTTTTACATAATAAGCAAATATATATATATATATATATATATATATACATACATATACAAATATATGTGTATATATATTTGCTCATTTACTTTTTTACTTACATAATGAGTAAATATATATAAATATACGTGTATATATATTTCCTCCTTTATTTCTTATGCATAAGTAAATATATACACATATATACATGTCTTCATATTTACTCATTTACCTTTTATTTACATAATGAGCAAATACACACGTATATAAATATACATATATATATAATTGCTCATTTACTTTTGTATTTACATAATGAGTAAATATATATACACATATGTAAATATATGTGTATATATTTGCTCATTTACTTTTTATTTACATAATGAGTAAATATATTCACATATATAAATATATGTGTATATATTTGCTCATTTACCTTTTTATTTACATAATGAACAAATATATACACATATAAATATATGTTTTCTCATTTAATGAAACAATTACTGTAAAAATATAAACAACCCATGTAAATGAGCAAATTATAATATATACACATATATACTATGTATGTATATACAATATTTGTGCTCATTTACATATTTATTTTTACCGATATTGTTTATGTAAATAAGCAAATATATATAAACACACACACACACACACACATATATATATATATATATATATATAAAGTGGCGCTTTGGCCCAGAGGCAATGTCTTTGTCATTGGTGTGGAACCCCAGGGTTCACCTCCTGGGCAAGTTCGAATCCCGGTTAGGGCGGTTGGTACCTTCCAGTGGACTCACCACCCGCAGGAAGGTTTAGGGGGTTGGTACGGTGCAATGTGATTTGGGTGGCGACTGCTGCCCCCGCGACCCGGTAACGGATAAGCGGATGAAGATGGATGGATGGATGGATATATATATAATGTTTATATATATGTAAGACTCGTGGTTACTCCCTCCCTCCCCTCTGGGCATCTACACCACCCACCTCACCCTTCAGGCCCTCAGGATCACAGGTGACCCCCCTACTACTCCCATCCCACACCCTGTCCAGCCTACTCTGAGGTCTCTGGACCAAATCCAGCAGGCTCAAGGACAGTTTCATCACCCAGGCAGTCGGGAGGTTCAATTCCTCTGCTCTGCTCTGCCCCCCCCCTCCCCCAACGCAGTCGTTTCGACTTGATATGTGACATTTGTATCCAGACTGATCGTAGTCAGTCAGTCAGTCGGTCGGTTGGTCGGTCGGACACGCCCTGTAATTCGAAGGAAACAGAACAGAGGAAAAAAAAACAGAAGGTAGAGCAGAAAAACAGGAAAGAACCGTAGGACGTGTCCTGTCTTGTTGGGAGGTTTCCTGTCCCTCACACAAATGTAAAAGAACTATTTAAACCCCAGGGGGCGTTTACCGTGGAGTCGACGCACACATTAATACTAGGACAAAAAAAATGATTTTTTTTTTAACATTTTGTCCTCACTCTAACACTGTTTCCGGTGCAGGGCGTGATCGGGCCACGTGCGCAGTACTGTCATTAGTGAGTTCGTTTCATCTGTACCAGGAACAACTGCATCGCAAAAAAACAACAACTGAGGTCTCTCCTCGGAGACGAGGTAGAAAAGTGTGAGATAAATGAAGCTAAGTAAGTGGGTCACATGTTCTCCGACTTCTTCTGCCTTCTGCTGTCTGAAGGCCGTCGTCAGCCCTGCTGACAGGTGGTTTTACTGCACCAGAGACAAAGGAGTGGCTCCAGATCAGCTGAGTCGCAGAGAAGAGTCAAAAAAAAAAAAAAAAAATTTGCACATTCACATCCGCAACGCCACATTTGAAATACTGTATTCAGAATAAAAACAACAAAATTTAAAAAATAAATATATAATTTAAAATAAAAACACTTTACAGAAAAATAGGTACGCTTTAAATGTTGTGTCAAACTCAAGGCCCGGGGGCCAAATGTGGCCTGCCAGGTCATTTTTTATGGTCCACGAAAGCTTTAAAAAAAAGACCACGCAGCAGCGTTTCTTAACCTGATAAATTTTTTTAAAAAGTATTTTTATTATTATTACACTGCAATGAACAATATTTGTTACTTCAAAAAATAATATTCAATTGCATAAAAATTATAAGTATAAGTATTTCTAAACAACAATTACTCAATGACTTTGTACACGCTGTACTACAGAACGATACTGTGTATTTACGCAAAAGTCCCGAACCTGGCGATCGGACTTCAAATCGCACTTTCAAAATAAAAGTCTTTATTATAAACAATCAGCAATTTTTTGTTGTATGTCGCATTTTGTTTGGTCGGGATTTTCGAAGCACAAAAATAACAAACTTTTGATGAATTTTTTTTTAAATATCCAAATGCAAAAATAGAAATCTGAAAATGTTTTGGGACAATTTGCGGGATTTTTAAGCTAGCATTCAGACTGATGTTAGCCGCGACCACGTCTTGCCACCTTCAATCTTTAGCTCCTATTTTTTTACCTTGTTCAAATGTGTGTTTTCACAGTTCAAACTGTGAAAGTAACATTTTGAACCGTTAACTCTCGTCAGGCCTTCGCAAAATAGTTGAGTTTTACGTCTCCTTTTTTCCAGGNTTTTTCCCGGGACAGCCGCTGCTACTCCCATCCAGGGCTAGCGCTAGCTGGATGAGAGTAACAGCGGCTGTCGTGGTGCTTGTCCTTTGAAGGATGTAGAACGTTAACAGAACAATGCTGTCAATCCTGATCTGCAAGATTAAGTCGCTGCATCGACGCAGGCACATCAAGCCGCGATTCCTGATTCTTGCATCAGACGCCACCGCCTCAGGGCCGAACGTAGGGGACTTTTTAAATAATGCAGCAGCAACAGCGGCAGCAGCAGCTAATCTGTATCAGAGACCATGTGTCAAAATGTGTCCCCCTCCTGTTTAACCCGAGGCAGAGATTGGACTGATGACAGGGGGAGGCGGGGGACGGTGGGTCTGGAACATTTTTCGAATGTTTCTCACCAGTTTTGACTTGTATGTTGAGTTGTTCTGTCATTGAGTTCCACACAGTACCAGTACTCTGTGACTTATATTTATCATAAATATATTTAATACTAAACTGATAATTAAAGTCCCTTATTTTTTTTTTGTCTTTGCAATTCACACAGGCTGCCACAGGGGGCGCCATCGAGCTTGTGGTTCCTCTGGGACTCGAACCCAGGACCTTCTGCGTCCACTGCTACCCTATGAATACCAAGCAGTCGCTTCATGACTTTCTCTTGGTTCCAGTTGTGTAAATTAATGCTTTTTTTTTTTTTATCCAATCTTATTTCAGCCATCATGTGTTGCCAGGTTCAAAGAAATCTGCCCTCAGGCTTTCAGAGTCAGTAGTGCAGGTCTGGAGAAGGGAAATAAATGGCAATGAGATTGTTCCTTTTAACCAATCAGATTGTGAGTTGACATCACCACAAGGGCTCCTGAGAGGTGTACAGACATGTTGGCAATTTGAGTGATTTGATTGGACGGTCGATGAACACAGCCTCAAATCTAACGTACTGCATCTCTGGGGAGTTGTCTCTGCGTTAACTGGTTATAAAAAAAAAACGTACAAAAAAAATTCTGACAGGACAGACCGGACTTTTAGCATTAGCATGAACGGAGACGGATGAGGCGTCGTCACGTGATGCGTTCACTGTCATAAAAAAGGAAGGTTAAAAAAAGGGAGTGTGAAGAAGGAAGTCATCGTGAGAATCAAACGAACAAAAAAATGAAACCGAAAAATAAAACTCTCCAGCTTGACTACAAACGTGATGTGAATAAAAGAAAGAAAAAAAGCTAACACGTGAAACATTAGCATTTTTCAAACTGACATTTATTTTACAATTTTTTTCTTTTTAATATCAGCAGAAGGAGACGCTGCATCTTCTCCAAACAAAAACAAAAAAAAAAAAAACAAAAAAAAAAAACCAACTGGTTCGTCCTGCCTTCAGGATCCACAGCTCTCTCTGATTGGTCGTCAGCGTGTTGCGTAACACCGTGCAGTTTCCTGTTTCTCCTATGGGAAAGTGTTAATGAAAAGGTTCATGAAACTTCTTCTTCACTCTGTCGCTGCCAAAATAAATAAATAAAATAAAACTTAAAACCGAAACTTTATTTGAAATATTTTTAATGTGTTCAAATGCAGCAAAAAAAATCCAGAGAACAAACCACCAGTCAGTCAGTCAGTCAGTCAGGTGACGTCCCTGAAGGTACACACACCTGGACCAATCAGAGCGCTCCCTGATTGAACGTTACCTTTTAAGGACAATGCCACACACACGCCACTAAATAAAAACAGACTGCTCGTTCGGCTCTTTCGCAGTCAACTAAGCACCGCTGGGACAGAGGAACACTCGCGAGATTTCACCGCCAACAACACCGGAGATTCACCTGCACAGGTAAAAACAACAGCTGCTGCTGCTTCGTGTAAAGTGTTTTAAATCAATTCTCCTTTTACAAAAACTGAGTTGAACTCCGTCCACATGTACATGAACCGCCGAGGAGTTAGGCTGCTGAAAATGAAGTTGGTGTCGTAAAAGAAAAATAGAGAAAACCCGTAGCTGCGTTGAGTTGTTTATCAATTTAGCAGCAATTTTTGGTTTACAAAATATGTACATAACAGCAATTAACGATTTAGTTAGTAAGTTAATAAGTTTAATACGTTTCTGGGTTGGGTTTGGAGCTGGGTGTGATCGTCGTCACGGCTATGACGCAGTTTTTCAAAACTGCTCGCGTTCGAACACGACTTTGTTTAATTTAACGATAATTTAAATCATTAAAGAGTTGTTTTTTGTTTTATTTTTATTTATTTTTTGTAATTTAAATGATGACGTCGAACCCTGCAGTTACTGTTGTTTAATCTAATCTAATTTATTCTTATTGCATCATGAATATTCGCAGTTACACATTGATTAATGTCCCGGCTCGGTTTACTGGCAGTAAAAAAAAAAAAAAAAAAACTCACGTGATCTGCAGACGTAAGAAGCCTTTGATTCTTTGAAGCGCGGTCGATTCGACGAAACTTCGTAACGTAACTGGATTTTCGTCTTCGTTCGTTCGTAGTTTTCGTTGAATAGCGCGGTTTGAGCTGCAATTTTTGTCTGCGTCACAAGAGCAACAGCGGTGCAACGTCCAAATAAGTCCAAAACCGCGTGTTCTGGTGCCCGTCTGGTTTGTTTTAACGTCCAGTTGCGTCATGTATTTTGTAGTTATTAATTTTTTTTAAAAAATATTTCGGAGATGATTTTAAATGTGTAAAAGTTTTATAGATGACCAGTGACGGTTCCCACTTCTTTGTGGCCCTGGGCCGAATAGGCCACCCCGCCACTACCGGCACCACCCAACCCGGCGTACATGCGTACAATTAACCGGGAATGTGGTTTAATTTGGCCAAGGAAGAGTGACGCGAGGACTGAGTGGAAACTCTCCCACCCCTTCAAGTAAAATGTGTCGCACACTTGCGAAAGAAACGAAACCAAACGTCGTTAGTTTGTTTCCTCAAAATTGGTGGAAAATTTGTTTGACTAAAACTGAAGAAAAAAAAGTCAACACTCCAGTTTGTACACGGTCTTCAATGACCTTGTTTAAAATCGAAACTTGGAGTTCACTTGAAGTTGAGGGCAATTTTTTTTTTCTTTACGGCTTTAATTTAACAATTGCTCATCACTGTAATGTCAGTGCGGAGAGTTAGTTCCTGTTTGGAGGCGTGTTCTGACAAAACTGGTTTTTAAAAATGTCAGGAATTCTTCCTGGGCAGTCTGTAAACTCTTCTAATGTCTGTATGGGATTTGGCGCCACCTACTGTGATAAGTGAGGCGTTCATTTTTTTTTTACAAACTATTGTCTTCACTGTGGAGAACTCTTGACAATATCATGAAAATTAAGAATTGTAGCTCTTAGCTTGGATGCTAACGACTGAAACATGGATTTTTCTGAACTTTAAAAAAAAAAAAAAAGAAAATTGTCATTGAAGTGCTAAACTTTTTTTTTTTTTTTTTTTCTCCCCAGAAATGGATGACGAGATTGCTGCCCTGGTCGTTGACAACGGCTCCGGAATGTGCAAGGCCGGCTTTGCCGGAGACGATGCTCCTCGCGCCGTGTTCCCGTCCATCGTCGGACGTCCCAGACACCAGGTCTGAAGCTAAAGCTGTGTCTCAGTTACACTTTACACTGCCGGCGCAGATGCAGTGACCCTGTGGTGTCTGTCTGTGTGTCTGTCTGTGTGTCTGTCTGTGTGTCTGTCTGTGTGTCTGTCTGTGTGTCTGTCTGTGTGCAGGGCGTGATGGTGGGAATGGGTCAGAAGGACAGCTACGTGGGAGACGAGGCCCAGAGCAAGAGAGGAATCCTCACCCTGAAGTACCCCATCGAGCACGGCATCGTCAGCAACTGGGACGACATGGAGAAGGTGAGGACGAAAGGAAACAAATGACCAAAGATGGAACAACCACTGGAACAACGATTGTGCTGTAATATATAAATGTGTATAGATAAACACATACATATATAAATATACATACAAATATATAAATGTGTATATATACATGTAGTTAGCAGCTAACCAATAGTGTGAAGTACAAATTAATTTAAATGAAGTACAATATATTCTTGTTTTATATATGTGTATATGTATGTGTATGTGTATATATTTGTATATATGTGTATATATTGTATTTATATGTGTATGTATATACGTGTATGTATAAATATATAAAAATATATATAAATAAATACACACACACACACACATATATCTATATATATAATATATGTTATATATAATATATATTATTATTATGTTGATCATTCTGTAATATACATATATACTACAACATAATCAACATTTATTATATATATTTATATATGTATATATGTATATATATTAGCTTACATAACAGTTATGTAGTGTGTGTATATATATATATATATATGCAGTTAGCAGCTAACCTGTGTGAAGTACAAATGTCATTTAAACAAAGTACAATATATTCTTGTTTTATATATATATATATATAAATATATAGTATAAGTGCAATATATGGGCCGGTGGAGAAGCCGAAGCAGAAATGTAAACGCTGGGTCAAGAAGTCATGTCATGTCCGTCATGTGTTCTGACCAGATCTGGCACCACACCTTCTACAACGAGCTTCGCGTCGCTCCAGAGGAACACCCAGTCCTGCTGACGGAGGCTCCGCTCAACCCCAAGGCCAACAGGGAGAAGATGACCCAGGTAGGCAGCAACTGACCAGTCCACTGACCTGATGCGGCACAACTGGAGAAGTCTCATATTAACTACGCGATACTGTCCAAGGACTTCATTTCCCATTCCAATGTCGACCGATACTGATATATGCAGCCGTTTCGTTTTAAGGTCACATCATCTGGGCAAAGCCCAGACATTATCGGGTTTCAATTATCGAAGCGTTAAACGACATCGATAATGATTCTTACCGATATTACATAATTATGCTAATATCAGCCGATAGTATTGGTAACTTGGATGCTACAGAAACAGTAACTGGTTAGTAGAATCACCAGAAGGCCGTCTGGTGCTCCCTGGCGGCCTCTTGTGGTATATGGAGCCGATCATTGAGATCAGGTCACTCTCTCTGTGGTTTTGTTTTGTACTGTGTGGCTCTGGCTGATCAACGGTAAAGTAATCTGATTATCGATTCCTCTCTGTTCCAGATCATGTTCGAGACCTTCAACACTCCTGCCATGTACGTTGCCATCCAGGCCGTCCTGTCTCTGTACGCCTCTGGACGTACCACAGGTCAGAACGCC